TAGTTTGGCTATTACAGGGAGTACTCTGAGGCCTCACCATTGTTCCTATAAAACCTCAATTAACTTTACAAAATAGTCAATATCCCAGTCCTTTGTTCCTGAGGGGATATTACTATTTTTTTCCCCATAATCGAGGGAGGCGAAGTCTGTGCAGTAAGAACGGTTTGTTCCCAGTCCTGCCCCAGTACAAGGTTTTGTTTGTTTAAATAACACTATTTATACAAAGGACACATCAAAGTTAAAATATCTTAAATAGAATAATGCCAAAATATTTGGTTGCACACTAAGGAATGACTTAAATGCATTTGAGCATTTTGATTTTTCAAAACCTTTAGCTTTTAGGTGGGCATGTTTTCCAAGATAGATCTTCTCAGTGGGCCTGGGAAATGAGCAAGTGTTTGACCTGTTTTCTAAAAATGATGCTCCTCTTTTGTGGTTTGCAAGTATTTTACTATCAAAGTTAATATTAACGAGGGCCATTTGCATTGCTGACATTCTGTCAAGCCCTTTACAGGGTGAAGAAGAAAGTGATATGCCATTAAGTCTTCATTTAGGGAACTAATCTAAACCCAAACCCCATACTTTCCCCTCAGCTCAGTGAATTCCAGGAATATTGAGGCAGTGGGCTTCTTGGTTCATCACAGGGAGTTTACTTGCCTGGGCCAGGTTCGACACCTCAGCAGAATTTTTAAATATAGGCTCAGTGAGGTGCGTGGCTCCTGGTGCCCCCCCAAATGCCTAGTGTTGATAAACTGAGGCCTCTCTACAAATGAACTCAGCATCCAAAGGCCTAGAATTAGGAATTTGGTTGGAAGAGACAGGCTTGTTTGCTCTGTGGTTTGGAAAATATAATGTTGCCCTTTTCTGGTATCCATGTAAAACTTTCAGCGTAAATATTTATTTTTTGCTCTATTTTTCAAGAAGAAGAAGAAAGGAAAACAAAATCAAAAAACTTGAGCTCAATAAGAATCGCCTATGGCCTGAACTTGGGGCTTAAATATTTCCACATTCACAACAAGGTATGAGGGAGATTTTCCCATCAAAAAGAGAGGTTCTCATTAGCTACATCTTTTTAATACACGGAACATTTATTGACTGCTTCGCAGGTGCCAGGAAGCCTTTTAACTCAGGGTTCATGATCTGTTCGCTACTTCATCCAAAAGTGTAAGTGGTTGGTACATTCACGCTGCTACATATATCACCCTGAAAAGGCCAAGTGGAATTTAAAATAAAGAGAAAGGGACTAAATAGTCTCATAACGAAGTATAGGTATGTCCCAAACATTATTTAGGACTACTTGTGCTAAAAATTTATTTGCTATTTATCTGAAATTCAAATTTAACTAGGCGTACTGTATCTTATCTGGCAAGCAGTGCCAATGGACAAAGCCATGCAGTGCACATGTCTTAAAAAGGAGGGAAAATGATTTTCGGGAACTTTGAAAGTATTGGGAAATAAATAAGACCATTATAAATGCTGTTTCAAATCATTATTAAAACTCTAGTAATATAAAATTATGTAATTTATCATGTTATATAAATTGAGTCTAAACCAATGTAAGTCAAACTTTTGTAACTTGAATGTTTTCCCATTAGTTTATGTTAACATTGTAATAATGTTTCATCCTCATTTCTGATTAATCTTCAGTTGATTCTTAATGGATTTTAACTTTCTATGTTCCCAGGTTCTTAAGTTAATGATCTATTCAGGAATTCTTGAATAGAGCCAGGGCCCCCTCATGTGAATCCTTTTGTAAAACAAAGAGTCTTTTTTGAATTTGAAGACTTTTTTTGTATTTTGATCAATCACCCCTAATATATCAGTTTTAACAAGTTCAGATTTCTATACATGCATGGTTTTTTGAAACTGAGCACACCTAATTTCCTCTTCTATAGCTTATTATTTGAAAAAAATCACAAATAGCATAAGCAGGTCATTTTTCAAAATAAGTAGTTCATTTCTTTAAATCATGGAGATTTAAAGGTTTTTTTTAAGGAAACAAAAGAAAACTTCCTAAGAAAGTCCAGTTAGAAAGTGGTGCAAAGGAAATGACAAATTCAGAATATTCTCCCACTCTTCAGTCCTCCTTGGGAGACGGTTACTCCCAGGGAGCATGAGCCCTTTCTGAAGACTCAGGATGAGGTGGGCATTGAGAGCTAACACTTTAAAGCTGCAGGAAGCTGGCGAGGGAAAGTCAGCTTGGAGATGGTTATTCAACTCTCAGGTGGAAAATGTGCCATTCAGAGCATTGCGGCTTCCCATGTGATGTCAGCTGTTTATTTTGGAGCCTTTCATTTCATAATGGTGCAGTTCTCAGCTGAAGTCCAAGTGTCCCCTTGAAAAATTAAGGACTCTTTCTTTCCCCCTCTTAAAGTGACCTAATTCATTCAAAAATTATTGAGGGCCTCCAGGGACAAGATCCTATTTTAAGCACTTGGGATCCATTGATGAACAAGCAAAGGTCTCTGCCTCCTGGAGTTAACATTCTATCAGAGAAGACAGACAACAAACATCAAACACAAGAAGTAGGTTATCCAGTGTGTTGGAAGGTAGTATTATGGTGAGGAGGGAAGAGGAGGGCAGGAGGGTCTGGATTTGGGCTTGGGGAGGGATTGCATTTTAAACAGGGAGGTCAGGGTGGGACTTGGTGGTGACATTTGAGCAAGGACTTGAAGGGGATGTGGGAGTGAGCCACTGGGTGCTCTGCACGAACAGTATTCGAAGCAGAGAGGGATCAGCCAGCACAAAGGCCCTGAGTCCCTGCTTGTGTCTGACCTGTGGTTCTCAACCCATGATGATTTTGCCCCAGGGGACATTTGGCAATGTCTGGAGATACTTTAGTTTGTCATTACTGGGATGGGGGGATACTACTGGCATCTCCTGGGTAGAGGCCAGGGATGCAAGTAAACATCCTATAATGCACAGGACAGCATCCCACAACAAAGAGTGACACAGCCTAAAATGTCGGTAGCGCTGAGGTTGAGAAACTCTGTGTCTGAGGAGCAGTGAGGAGGCCAGAGAAGCTGGAGGGGAGGCAGTAAGAGGAAGAGAAGTAGAAGGTGAGGTCAGAGGTAGCAAAGGCTGGGGGAGCGGGGGTGGCCAGGTCAGGTAGGGCCTTAGGGCAGTGTGGACTTTGGCTTTTACTCCAAGACAAATGGGGAAGGTTTGGAGCAGAGAAGGGACATGAGTTGCATTAACAGTTTTAAGAGTATTGCTGTAGCTGCTGGGTGGAAAATAGATTGAAGGAGGGTAAGGCTGGAATGAGGGAGTTTGGGAACTGTTGTGGTTATCTGGGCGAGAGATGATGGGGCTCAGAGCAGGATGGAAGCAGCTTCGTGACTTCTGTGCAGGAGAACCATTCAATGCCAAAATTTAGCTATCTGACAATGAGGTGTTCTGGGGATCCACACAATCCCCACTCTTTTCAATACCAAATATCATGTATTTTGTATGTATTATGTATTATCTATATATATCTATATCTAGATAGGTACGTAGGTAGGTAGGTAGATAGATATGGTTAAGTCACCTTAGCTGGGTTTTGTTTTACACAATAGGATACCTGAGACCTGTTTTAACAATCAGTTCATGACGAAACAATTTGACATGGGTTAGGCACAACATAATCCTCTTTACTTTAACATGGTCTTGGCAAAAAAACATTCACTCTTGCTAACAACTCTTCTGTGGTATGTTTTTCTAAGCCATGTATAACCCTAAACATACTAAATTACCTGCAAATGGGATGAGAGGAGCATAAAAGGTCTAGTACCTAATAAAGAGGCATTTGGATTGCCTTTCTTTTCTAAAAATGTATTAAATTGTTGAAATAGTTACTCTTCTCTTACTTGATCAGCCAAAGTAAATGCTGAAACACAGCAGGAAACACCAAGAGATTGCTAATTCATGCTTCTACCCAAGGGTCTCAAACATCTTAGAAGCATCGCCTCATCACTCCTCCGTATGAGCTCCCTAAAGTGCACGCCTCTTGTCCTATTTGCAACCAAAGACAGTGGGAGTCAGGTGACAGCCTGCAGCAGAGGCTGGACCACCCCCCCACACACACCTCTTTGGGGTGAGGCTGCATCTGTCCACAAACAGCATCTCATTCCATTTATTGCTATGATACATTTAAATGCCATCTTACAGTATTTCCATAATTTTCTTAAGTCGTGCTGTTCCGAGGAAGTGGTAAATTAGTCTCTTTGTTAATGAAGAGTAGGCTGTTTTTCAGTCTCTTAATGTTTTTGAAGGAAGTTTTAAAATATAGTTGAGTTCATGGGCTTTTCATTTGTTGTATCAAAATGGTTCTCATCCCACTCAGCCGAGCAGAAGTGTTGAGTCAGGGTAGATTTCTGAGAAAACACTCGGTATTCCAGATGCGAGTAGCAATGTTGGAAGACTTCCCAATCTAAGATAAGCCTTTGTCACCCTCTAAGACGGGGTTTCTCAAAGTATGGTCCATGGATCACCTACATCAGAATTTCTCCAGGGTTTGTTAAAAATGCAGATTCCTTGGCCCCACACACACAGCTACCCCTAAGGATAGGGCCAGGGATCTGTATTTCAGTGAGCATCTCAGCTTATTCTCATTCACACTCACGTTTGAGAACCACTGCTCTAGGTTATGCTATTAGAGAAGCAAAATGGCCTTAGAGGATCAGCCTGTTCACAGCAACTCTCTACAGACTTGTTAAAAATGGCAGATGTTATTCAAATGAAATATATCCTTCTAAGGCTATGTTTTCTACAAGGAAGTGTATCACCCACCACTTCAGTCTCCTCTTTCAACGGAATCATTTTCCTTCTGCAAAGTCTGGGAAGGTGCATTTTAGCCTCTGTTCTTAGGGGATTACAGAGGTCACTCAGCTTAACTGGCTGATAGGTTTCACTGTGGGTCCAATCTTGGCTGACTTTAGGAGGCACTTTGACCTAGAAGACTGCTTGAAATGATCATTGTTGTTGTCTCATGTGACCTTTTCTGTTTTCTTGTTGAACAGCAAATATGCCAGAGGATTATCTTGATCAGTTTGATGATGTCATGGATTTTATTCAAGCTACCATTAAAAGACTGAAAAGGTCACCAGATAAACAAATGGCAGTGCTTCCTAGAAGAGAGCGGAATCGGCAGGCTGCAGCTGCCAACCCGGAGAATTCCAGAAGGAAAGGTCACCGAGGCCAGAAGGGCAAAAACCGGGGTTGTGTCTTAACTGCGATACATTTAAACGTCACTGACTTGGGTTTGGGCTACGAAACCAAGGAGGAACTGATTTTTAGGTACTGCAGCGGCTCCTGCGACGCAGCCGAGACAATGTACGACAAAATATTGAAAAACTTATCCAAAAATAGAAGGCTGGTGAGTGACAAAGTAGGGCAGGCATGTTGCAGACCCATCGCCTTCGATGACGACCTGTCATTTTTAGATGATAACCTGGTTTACCATATTCTAAGAAAGCATTCCGCTAAAAGGTGTGGATGTATCTGACTCCGGCTCCAGAGACCGCCGTGTATTGCATTCCTGCTACAGTGCAAAGTAAGGGACCAAGGTTCCCAGGAAATGTTTGCCCAGAATGGGAGATGAGGACCAAGGAGGCGGAGAAGGAAGAGGAGGAGGAGGAAGGCAGCCGTTGTGGGAGCCTGGTAGAGGGAGATCCAGCTACAGAAAACTGGACAGGAGAGAGAGAAAATAGCCGTCTGGATTCTCCTGGATGGCAGCCGATGTCACCAGAAGCTCAGGGCTGGTGTCCCCGGTTGTGTGTTGCCATCATTTCATCTGATACAGTCACGGTCATGGCCCAGTTGCGGATGCGCATGAAACCAAACCAGTGAGTCTCCTGTGGTTTGTTTTCACATGTCTGGAGACACCAGGGAAATGGGAAGCCTGGTGTCATTCCTATCATTACATTTTACTGCTGAAAGCATGAAAGGTTTATTTTTCTGTCACTCAATGGAGACATACCCCGGAAAGAAGGAAAAAACAAAAGCAAAGGCACAAGAGATAGCAACCTTTGAATTTGAAAGTTGAGGCCTGAGGTTTAGTACAACCAGCGTCTTTGTGAACGGTTGGTGATTGATTTCGAACATGGTGTGTGGGGTGGAAAGAAGTTGGCTAGGAACCAAAAAGGCTGTCCTCATGACTAACAACAAACCTGAAGGTATTTCCTTTATGTCCTTGGAGACAGGAAACCAGTTGTGGTTTTCGGCAGCATTCTTGCAGGAGAGCAGTGGGGAAGGCCCCCAGCTGCATGGGGGCAGGGAGACCCGCCGGGCCTGTCGGTTTACAGAGAGACAGATGTTACATACACCCCAGCTCCGTTTATGCGTGGTCACCAGTGACCAGAGAAGCTACTCGATGCAATGCATCTGTTTCAGATACAGAAATATAGAGAAGCTATTTATTGAGATTTAAGTTATTGTTATTTATTACCGTTCACTAATGAGTTTCTTTTTTCCCTTATTTATTAAAGCTTCTTTTCAAAGGTGCCAAAGTATATGTGCTCGCAAAATGCAAAAGGTAACAAAGGAAATTTTAATTGGGAACAAGTGTCCATGCTTTTCAAAGTATTAAAAAGTTTTTCGCCAGGCAAAAATCACTTACTTTACCTTTTTAAGAAAAGCTCTCGTTCATTGCCCCACTTTCAGCATCTTCCCTATTTTTATTTTTTAAAAAAGAAATGTGTCAGAAGGAGCATTTTTGACAGGCCCCTTCTTGGGGAGCAGTGTGCAGAGTCTGTTGGCACTCGGCTTTATTTCTTCATTGCTCCATCTCTGAACAGATCTGCCATGTGCCCCACTTTTTGTCGTATTTAAGCTCTTACTCCCCTCCACTTATATCTATCTATGATATGCATAACCATATATATGAAAGGTTAAATTCCTATTAGTAGGTAGTCCTGGATTCAATGTTGACCTAAAAGTAAAAATCCTGTCAGGTAGCCAGGGTTCTGCCCTGATGGCAGAGACTCTTCCTCCATCCTTCCCCCCACTGCCCTTCCGAGAAACATGCTCGTGCCCAGTGTGGCCAAGGAGCGCACTGCTGGCCTTCCAGACATGAGGTCTGCCTGGTTGCCATAAAAGCCCCTTGGTTGAGGCCTCCGGACAACAGTCCCTGCCCTTGTACACCTGACCCCTCCCTCGGAAGAAGGTAGTCCAGAAGGTGACATGAGGAAGATATGTCTGGCTCGGCCACAGAATGCACTACCTTTATGATGAAAGCTTTCCAAGGGAAGGAAGTGAAGGATGGGAACCACCATATCGCATGTGCCCCAGATCCTGGATTTTTCTGGCAGCCAACCCATGCGCAATACACTGGGCCCTATGTTAGAGTTTGCCACACATTTCATAAAAGGGATTTTTATCAAGGAGATCATGTATCACTATCTTAGTGGCTTTTAGCCCAAAAGGATGACAGATTTAGCAATTAAATGACCTACTGGTCTCCCTCAAATAATCATGTTAATTTTACAAAGTAACCAAGAGGCAGCAGTTGCCAGACGTCCCTTCTCCCCAGCCCCAAAAGACCTAGGTTCTCCATCATTCTGCCCCTCTCTGTCCTTTGTGCCTCACTTGCATTACTCGAAACTAGAGGGAAATGGTCTCCCTCTACCCTCTCCAAAGTGGGGATCTTGCTGAGCAGTAGCCTGCTCAGAATAGTGGCAGACCCAGCCATCTGGTCATTCATGAAGCACAATTTGATGTCGCCCCAGGATCATCTGTCCGAATCAGAGAGTCCTGGCAGATGTGGCTGGAGTCCCCAGGTGTCAACCTCAGTCAGCCCCCAACACCCCATGGAGAGTCCCTGCCCAAAGAGGCTGTGGGATTCAATGGGTGCTGACAACTTGTTCCCAGCATCACCTACACACCATAAGCAGGTTTTAACTGAAGCAAATCCACCAAATCCACAAAAGGGTAAAGTTTGTGATTTTTTCTTTATCATCGCGATTACCATCTGATCCAGTAAGGAGTGCACTTCTTTGGAAGTTCTGACTTCTCTGATCTGTCTTGGTCGTTTGTGTTATACAACCAAAGTTCTCTACAGACTTTATTTTTGTACAATATCATTTTGTAACTTTTTACAAATAAAAACTCATTTCTATTGCTCTCTGTACTTCCGTACTTCCTCCCACGCCCGCTGACCACGGCCAGGCCCTGGGCTAAAAGGCCCTCCCCCTCACCACCACACAGCCCACTGGTTGGTCAATGGCCTTGTCCATCAAATATCCACAACCAATCACCATCCAAGTGGGGAAAAAACTTGCGAAGTTGTTCTTCATTTATTGATTCGCCAAATATTTATGGCATGCCTACACTGTGTTAGGCACTATGCGAGACACCAGGGATCCAACAGTGGCCTAAACAAAAACTCTCTGCTCAATCTCGTGGAGTTGATATTTATTTGAGGGGAGATAGACAACATTCAAAAAAGTAAAAACATGTAGTGGTCCAGGTGTTGATAAATGAATCAGTTACCAAGAATACAAACAGGCTATTACAACAGAAAATAACAGGGGGCTGCCTTAGTTAGTGGTGACATTGAGGCAGGACTTAAGACATAGATAGTCCCAACAAATAAGGGGCGTCCTGGCAAAACCCTGAGGTAGGCAAATGCCCGGACGGTGCCACCACGTTGCACAACTTTGGGTGACACCACATTCACATTGGTTCTACGTGGCAATGTAGCAGAATCCCTGGAATTGTGCAGATGGTGGCCTTGAGCTTAGTGTATTCTGGTGGCAAGGAAAACACTGAAGAGAGGAAACGCCACTGCCCTGGGTTGGGGGAGGAGAATATGCTTCCTCCTCAGATGACACACACACGTGTTATGTCACAGGAGGCCTTGTGACTATAAAAAGGTGGCCTTGTGAGGCTTTTTAAACCCAAAACAAAACTCGGACGCTCTTAAAACTCTTCTAAGCGGCTGCCTGCCTAGGCTTTCCAACAGAGTTCAATGCAGAGCCAGGCTTTGCCTGAAATGCCCTTGCCTTCCCGCCGCGCCGTCCCTAGCATTGAGGCTCCACAGAGTCGCTGGTACCCACTTCTGAGCTCAGGAGTTTAGCTTCCTCCTGCCAGAGCAGTGCTGAGGCCAACCGCCCTTTCTCTAAGCCAAATCCCGGTATGGCCTTAGTAAGTGGGAGAGGGAATGCAAACATTGTAAAACTCTGGCTTACCTCCTCTCCCTATTTAGAGCCATTTCCCCAAAGTGTGTTCCCAGGATGACTAACCAGGTAAGATGTTCCTCAAAAAAAAAAAAGGAAGGGGTGGTTCTCCAATCAAATAAGTCCGGAAAACATTGAGTTAAATAATATCAAACAGTTTTTTCAAGTCAAAAGAGAAGCATCAAACTTATCAGAGCCTTTATTAGACTAATGAACGTTGTGACAGTCCAGGAGAGGCCTAGTGTGCAGAATTCCCCAGGTGGATAGGACCATTAAACTGCCCATGGTTTTGTTTTCTTTCTCAGAACACTGTTGACCATCCCTTGAAACTGCCTTGGGCCACATTGCCTGCTCCCGAAAGCATCGGGATGAGCGGAGAGGGAGACTAGAGATAGTCAAGAGGCGGAACCCACAGGGCAGCTCACAGGGGAAGGACACGTCCCCCCAAACACACACACTCTGGACATTCAGGCACCGTGGTCTCTTGCTCAGCGTGATTAACCAGTGGTCAACTTTGGAAATTTCATTCAACCGAGAAAGGGAGAATGTGTTGAAAGCTGGGAAATTCTCAGGAGCAATAAGAAAGGGAACTTTACCATGCTCACTGCAAATCCTCACCCAAACTGAAACCGCTAGTGCTTTGGCTGGTCCATAGTCTTGAGGGAATGATATCCCCGCCCGCCTCCTGCTCCCCACCCCAGCAGTGATCCTAGAGGGAATGCTGCTCTCCGTGGGTACCGGGCTCTGAATTCCTTGCTGCTGCAAATGTTGTGAGAACACTGGATTAGGGGCCTCAGGAGCCCAGACACCAGTTCTGACAGTCTCTTGCGGCTTGTGCTGGTGAGGTTATCTCGGGCCAGTTTTCTCCGTGTGGCCAGCAGAATGAAGTAGTGGTTTAAAAGATCTTTTAAAAGAATCAATCCACTCCCAAAGTAAAGGTGAAAAATCAGAATTTCCTGAAACTGTCTCAAAAACAGAAAGCACCCCTGCCCCGACTTCTACCCCCCCACTCCCCCCCCACCTTCACGTGCAGGGTTCCACTTGGGCCGCAGCTGATTTGCTATCTGACCCCAGAATCACGGGGAGGAGGCAGCCCGAGACCTCACACTGTCCATCTTTGCTTCTCAGAGCACGGTGGCCGGGGCCGTGGGGGGGAGGGGACAGAAGGGGGCGGGAGGCAGGGGGAGAAGATGGGACAGGGACAACACGTAGCTGCCAGCCACTGGTCTCTGGCTTTTTTCCATCAGGTAATGAAGTGTCTGAGCCCAAACTGTCTTCTTGGGACACATCTTTGTCAACAGAAGTATGACTGTAATCCCATGCAATAGTTAACTCGACTCTTGTCTCATCACACAACATCCTGAATGAAATTAAAACCAAATGCTGCCAAGTCATCCCTGAAAATAAGTAGATAGTTGGGGAAATAAAGGGAAAGCACCCATTTACTCATATATGACAACAAACGCACTGCCGCACCCTGGTCCCGTGGCAGGTGAGGGTGATGATGATGGAAATGTGGACTGGGGTGGAGGATGTGTGGTCACAGGTGCGTAGAGGGTGCTAGAACACCTCAGCGAGCAGCGGGGAGGGAAGAAAACCTGAAAAGACTATGAGTCAGGGACAGCTACAGAGGAGGGTTGCCAGACAATTTGAATTTCAGATAAACATGCATAATTTCTTAGCATTACTATGTCTCGTGCAAGATTTGGGACATGCGATACTTGGGACATACTTGTACTGAAATGATTACTCGTTGTTTA